AAATTCATACCCTATCGGTTTTGTGTTAAACGATTTTCACTGCATGTGTAAACTTTCTATAAACTATTTTAATGATCCGAACTTTAAGATTCCTTAATGCTATTTGTTTGTCTAAAAAGTAAAAATGGATGTTTGTATGTATGTATGACCTCGCTTCAACTCCAACACTGTTCAATCGATCACTATGAAAATTGGCATGTATATGTATTTTTTTACGGAGAAGAGTTTTGTGCTATCTTCTTTGTTGCAGCTCCCCCCCAGGTGGTGCTATAGCATATCGACTTCTGCACAGTTCAATCAATTGCCAACTTGCCAACTTGACTCCATCGCCAACATTTCGCTGTGTTTCCATTGAATCGCCGTTATAATTTAAGGAACGGCGTTGCTTGCGAATATTACAATTTTAACAGAATAACAACATAAAGTAATAATAACGTATTACACTTCTAGATATAAATTATTTACACTACTTTAAGTGTTCCTTACACAAAATTTGTAACAATTTTTTGCTTTTTCTGGGCAGAGATCAGCTTAGAAAGGTGTTTTCAAAAATTGACCCACAAGAGAGTTAAGGGGCGTTATAAATAAAAAAAATCATTTTTATCAGCTATTAGATCTACAGACTTAAAATTTAACAAACATGTTTTTTTTTGTTTAGTATGCATTTCACGTAAAATTAACTCATTAAAAACTTATTTATCGTTCAATCTGTATCGTTTAATTTTTCAACTCACCCGTGCGAAGAACGGGTATACCAGCTAGTATTAAATGTAATAATAATACACTTAGACGCTTAAGCTACAATACGACTTTAATTATAAACCGCACATTATCAAGATAAGTATTAAATTTTTATATATTACTCTTAAGTAATAGGTATTTTAAGTTACTTTTATAAATGATAATTTTTTAAGAATCTTTTTTTGTTTCGAATTCTTGATACGCTCGCCCTTCCCTCCCTCCCTACACAATTTGAGAAGCGCTGGTCTGACGACTACATCGTTAGAATGCTTTAGATTTAAGAGATACGCGTCTATAACACGGGACTTGAATATTGAGTCACGTTAAAAGATTGCCAGCATATGAAACACATTAATCTCAATAGATTGAGTTAATCTGAACAGTTAAAATGCATTTTGTGGTATTTTGAAGTAAAAATTTCTGTAGCAGTTCCTGCTATAGAAATCTATTTCTTGTTGCATTTAGAGGAACCAATCCTAGTAAATTACAATTTTATCTTAAAAAATAAGCAATATATTAAATTTTCAACACTAATAAGCTTAAAATAAATTGCAGAATATTGTGTTTGTTGCATTTGTTTTCTTGTTTAACTGAAAAAGTGTACTGCGACACATACGAGTAACGGTGAATATGAAACATTCACTAAGTTGTTATGGTGAAATTATGGAGATAGATATATCAATATAATCACTATAATGTAAATATAAAGGTAATATAGTAGCTTATTATGCAAATAAGACATGACAATGAATTATTCATAATTTGCGTGGCTGAAACAAAGTTGCAAAGCAATGATTACATAATAACATAAAATGACGCTAATTTTGCAAGGAAATTTGTCTAAATCCTCCTCTGTGTAACAATTCGGATTCACATAGAATTTAACAGAAAGTAATTTTTTTTTATAAAAGATAACATAAAGATGAAGACCTTTCATATTGCTTGTAAAAATGAATATGAATCGGTTATGAAAATTCGTTGGAAATGAATGGTTAGGAAACGGTTACAAATAATTCTGCGCGTCTATATCGTAAATTTAAATTTAATATATATATATATATATATATATATATATATATATATATATATATATATATATATATATATATATATCAAATGAATATCATATAACCTACAATTAAAATCTTGTTGTATTTGAATATTCTTTTAATGTAGTGGTAGACATAAAACTTTACAGAATTAAAAATGGAATACCAAGTTGACTTTTTGTAAAGGAAAATGCGTTCTAACTTTTGAAGATAAGATAAGAAGAAAAAAACTACAAAAAATTTTGAGAAACAAGAATTATTTATTTACGTTTCTCTGATAAAATGTTGACACAACGAACTAAATAGAAAAAAAAGAGCATAACAATTACACTTCCTTTTTTCCTGAAGAGAAAATGTTTTTTTGGCCAGTAATAAACATAACTTATTGAATGCAAAAGTTTAGATTTCAAGAAGCTTTCTGCTTCTTTTAAAATTTTTAACTAAGCGCTCTAGATCAATTTTAATTTTAGAATTACTTCAATTCAATAACCAAGCAAAAAGAAAAGATTAATTCTGCCACATGATGTAATACTTAAAGAAAAATCACACAACTAAAGCCTATTTAATCATTATTTATGATCATTAATTTTTTACGGGTAATTTGCAGACTTGGTAAAAAAAATTAATAATTATTCCCTTCTTACCGATTAATTAAATATGAAATTTTAATAATTTCTATATTTTTAGAAATAAATAATATCGTATAAATGCATATTATTTCTAATAATTCGACATTTTTCGTTAGTTAGAATCTTATGTACATGACTGTCTCAATATGAACATTTCTTTTATTTTAAAATCGTATAAAAATAAATTGAACAAAATAATTAGTTTTGGATAATATACTTTGCAAAAATTGCTTTCTTTACTGTAATTAGCTTATATATATAACATGAACCCATATAACTACATTACTATCTACATGCAACTTCCTAGATTAAATTATTTAACTAACTACATTTGATATTAATTGTAAAGAAACATCTAGGGATTGAACTTCTTTATTATTAGATTTACTTCTCTAAGATTGCTTATTAGTCAAATTTTTTAGTATAATTAAACTATAAAAAAATGATAAAGTTAATTAAAAATGTTATCATTTGACAGTTATTGAATTTTCTCTCTTATTAATTCTGCAAAATTTAAAAAATAATCTGGTTGCGCAATAATTACTACTTTATCTTCTACTCGAATGGTTAAATATTTTGCACAAGTAGAACAATAAAATTTCTTCGAAATTTATTTATCTTTTCGTTTCTAAATATTTCATTTAACAGTTGAAGGAAATGGATAATTCAAACTACAGAGGAGTAATATAAATTACTTCCAGAGGAAGGATTCTAATTATTTATATAATTTAGGAAAGTAGATTTTGTTGTATCTGTGAATCAATCAATTTGTGGCTGTATGTTACACCAATTCCCGCCAGTAACTACTCAAGAATTCTTTTCCTAACTAAATTCGACAAAGAACTATTTCTCTGAACTATAATTGCATTGCTATGCTTGAGCCATTGTAGTAATTTTTGTGCTAAATGTTATATTTCTCTAAACAAAAGCAGAATATATATTGTTCGTATATTTTCCATAAAAACATATCTATGCGCCTATCAATAGATTGCATGTGATCACTAGCATATCCCTGCTATTCAGGAGTCTACCTCTATACATCAATGGAGATTAATCGATATAGTTCTAAGACAGCGATCATCTGTGAAGAGAAGCAGGTGGTATTTGCTACGACGAAAGAGTTGTGCGCATCAAATAGTTCTGACAAGAATTGTCAACATTCGCGATGTGCGTGATAATTGCTGAAAGCTGGAAACCCATCATTTGCATTGTTTACTAAGAACACAAAATGTTAGTTAAACCTTTAATAAACAGTTCATTTAAGATCAATACAACTAGCTAAAAAGACAAAATCGGATAATGTTCTCTTCATTAGCTTGTGTAACTGATTGTAAGGTTTTGGATTGTAAAAATGTAACGATGAAAACAACTAAGTTCATCATTTGGGCCTCAGTAATTTCCATGAATGTTTGCAGAAATACATATCCCATGCTGTTGTATAACTAAGTTATTGTTTTAAAATTTATGATTATTGGTGGCAATAGCTTTGTTAAAAATTAGGGATTTGTTTTCTTTTAAAAAAGAATATTAATAAATGGAAAATTAATTTTCGCAATCGAACAAAATAAGGAATAACGGAAAAGAATTCCATTTAGTATTCGCAGTATAAATGTGAGAGCGGATTCTAAATTTTTATTAAATTAAAAAGTTGCTAAAGATTTATAACTTCTTTTCAGTTATTTATTGAAGAATTTATTAACGTAAAGATTTTTAAAAGGTATAAAGTGAGCAATGCATTAAAAAAGATACTTAATAGATGTACAATTTAAAACCTATTTTTGTGTGTTTTGGAATAGCTTTAAATTACTCTATTTATGGGATTTTATGTTATTATAACCTAAAGAAAAATGTTTAGATTCCCATATTTATTAAAATTAAAGGACTAGCGCAGAATTTATGGAATCTAAATACAAGAAACTTAGTTTCTGGAGACAGAAAGCTCGTTTTTTATTCCGAGTCCTTCTAGCCATTGGTTTCATCATACAAAGCTTGAAATTCTTAGAGATGTATCTCCATTACCCGTCTACAGTGGAACTTGAAGTCGTACAGCCGTCAGAAGTCGAATTGCCAGCCATTACAGTGTGTAACATCAACGAGTAAGTAGCGACGGAAATTTTTATTTAATTTTATTGAGAAACAACCTTAAAAAACTATTCTGAAGAAAAGAAAGCACCGAAAAATGTTGCTTAATTTTTAATGTATTTAGCGTAAGTTGTAATGAAACCCACTCAGTTATTCAAACTTACGTTTTATTACTTTCTTAAAGAATAATAATGAAATATATTAAACACACACACACACACACATACTCTACTTAAGGACAGATTTGAACATACGTACTTGAATCCCTTCTCATGAAATTTACAATCTCTGTAACTTTTTCAATTCCTGCAATTATATTTAGCTCCTTATATATATACTTTTTATTTATCCACTCAAGTTCAAATACGTGTTTTTAAACTTGTAGTGGATGGCACTTGATGTAAATACAGTTTTTTCAAATATTAATTCATTAATTCTATTTAATTAATAAATAAATAGTAGTTCAACAGCATATATCGAAAGGGAAATCGTTCGTTGTGTCCCTGTAGTGCAATGGATTGCGCATTGGACTTCTAATTCAAAAGTCGTGGGTTTGAATTTCACCTGGGATGGCGTAATTTCTCTTTCTTTATAATATTTAATTAGAATAATTCAATTTAATTAATGAGTAAATAATAATAAAAAAATAGTTCCAACTCCATATATAGAAAGGAAAATCACTTTCTATTTTGTCATTTAATATTGTGATTCGTCATATGTATATACATATTTATATTAATTGTAATTATTTATTAAAAAGTAACTAAAATGAAATATGTTCTTTATTGACCTAAGCAGAAATTTACTTAAATTTTTTTATATATTATTTATTTATGATTAGCTAAACGGATAATTACATACAAATCTATTAAAAGCTTTATCATCCAGGGAAATACGCAATATCCAATTTTTAGATTTTAAAACAAAAGTGTAGAGACTGTTCGAAAAAAAAGTAAAAAGATGTGTGGGTTCAATTCCCCTACCTGGAAGGAGTACTTGAACCGGATGAGCAGGAAACTTGAACTTTGAATTAATTAAAATAACAAAATTTTATTTTAAAAAATATATGCTTTGGGAAAAATGTTTTCCAACTATTTGTGGGGCATATTTTTTTCAATTGTTTAAACGACACTTTTAAGGCTTTTCAAATTCTCATAAAGTTATCTATTTTTACTTTTGTGTTATTCCGGGTAATATCAAAGTTCTTGTGCTTAAAATATCGAATTTTTTCCTCTTGTTGTGTCATAATAACAACAAAAAGAACAAAGTCCCAGAGAAAACCGAGATTTAAGAAATATATTTGCTTAGAGTAGAGATGCGCAACTTGTTTGGCTCTCAGACCACATTGTGGGAGCAGAGATACCGGAGGCCTGCAACTTTTTAACACTCTTTTATTAGCTTCACCTGTAAGTGATGGAACCTTTGAACTCTATTTTTACCCATTTTAAAATGTCAGATAAATTCAACAATTTTGAATCGATGACAATACAATAATTTAATAATTTTGTTCCATTGTCCTGATCAGGATCATCAGAAATAATGATTTCCCATTTCCAGATTTGGCAACTAATTCTAGATATGGTGACTCAACGTTCAAGTTACAGCCCTAAAGCGAAAACGCTCATGGTTAAGGTATCCGACTACGTTCGGAACCGTGATTTTGCAAAAGCACATAAACGGATAATTTTCATAATATTTAGTGTCAGTTAGGTTAGAATATGTGCATAAAATTGTTTTAAGGACATTTCGACAAAAAAATTTATTTAAATACAATATTTTGGCAAAAAATTAACTTAGAATAATCTTTTTTCCAAATGTTCTCCTTTTGTGAAAAATGCTTCTATCATAATATTTTGCCTGTATATAGCTCAGACTTCTCTAAAGAGGCTAAACTAGAAGTTTTGAACTATATAACTTAGAAGTGGATTTATTCATATTTTACGACAACAGAGGGGAGCAATTTTAAGAAAAAAACGCCAATAATTATTTCAGTTGGTGGTAACTCTGAAAATAATGTGAATTTTTCAAAAATTCTAGTTGAGCCTCTGTAGAGAGGTCTGAGCTGTATACAGGCAAAATATTATTATAATAGAACCATTTTTTCACAAAAGGAGAAGATTTTGAATAAAGACTATTCTAAGTTAGTTTATTGCCAAAATATTATATTCAAATAAATTTTTTTGTCAAAATGTCCTTAAAACAATTGTATGCATGTATTCTAATCTGAGTGACAATAAATATTATGAAAATTATCCATTTATGCGCTTTTTAAAATCACGGTTCCGAACGTAGACGGATACCTTACTACAAATGCAACAAAAAAAATGTGTTCTTTATGTGAAAAAGGGAAGAATGCGTCAGCAATTTCTTACCAAAACAATTGTCCAGTTTTTCTGAAAATGGAAATAAATAAATTATAGTTTAAAAAAAAAACTAAAAAACACGCTTTTATAGTTGATTGAAGTAAAAATAATTCTTAATATATAAGAATAAAATATTAACGAGAAAATTAATGTCATTGTGGTAAAAGCATGGTGTCCTTTGTATTATATTTTTACACTAATTATTATTTCGGAATAGAACTAGTAAGAAATTATAATAATTGATATCGAGCACCCCCCGCTTGTACCATAATGACATTAAGTTTCTCGTTAGTCATTTTATTTTTGAATTAAGAATTATATTTTATTTTTAGTTCGATTAGCTATTTTATTCAATTTATTTATTGTGCTAATTTCGTATTATCTGTAGCTGAAAGCATATTTAATTTTAGAATCAGTTTAATGAGACAAAGGTACGCGTTTCTACAACTTTTTTAATATTCATAAGTGAGATTGCTATTTTAAATTCTCATCACAGTCTGTAAATTTATGCCAGTCAGTTTGCATCTATATTTACTCATGCTGATCTTCATGCAAGAAAAACTTTGCTCACAAATATATTCCGACTAAAATATAAAGAACAATTTCCCCTCAAATTTCTTCGTAGACGGATATTTTTCAGCTGGCAGAGATTTGTAAAAGTCAATGTCATAGCATCAAACATTTCCTTCCCACTGAGATCTGACTTCAAGTCAATAAGTTCAACCTGCAGCTCTTTAGGTGCTGCATCAATATTAGCAGTAACGGGATAAGAAAAGAAATTGAATTTAGGCTTAGTTTTTTTTCATGAAATCCTGAAATTTTCTTTTGACCTCGTCCTCCAAACTCTGCATATGATCTCTTAGTAGAAACAGTTTCAGGTACTTTGTTTTTTTACTAGGGAAAAACAAAAGACTAATCTTTGATCACACCCGGAAAAGAAACTTCGGTTTATAGCGTTCTAACAGTCTTGGAGGGCCGCATGAGGCTATCCTCTGTCTTAGAGCAATAAATAAAGCAGAGCCAATTTTCCATCTAAATTCAACTCAAGACATATTTTAATTTTTTTTTTTATCATAAAGTGGAATTCTCCTTTAAAAATCTAAATCTTTGAGGTTTGTAAGGTAACAAAAAATGAAAAAAGATATTTTGTGGGAATTATTAAAAGTATTCATTTTTTATGTTTTATTCAAGTATTTAAGTAATATTTATCGGTTTTTAATTTTACCACCTATTGTAACAAAATCGAGTCAATTAATAATTAATAAAAATAAAGATAACATTCAATAAATTTTTAATAGCTATAAAAAAATCTAGTCATTACTCAAGTTTTCCATTAAAGGTAATTCAAAATCTCCTTAAATAGTCCTTTAGAGTTTATCAATTGGAAACGACAAAGAAAAAAAAGTTAACAAAATAAATAAATTGTTTATGTAACCAGAAACTAAATTAACAAAAGAATAAAAACATAAATACTTTGAAGAAACAAACGAGCAAATCAAATTCAATACTTTTACCAATACAAACTAAATACCTTTTAATAAAACTGAAAATTGAATACTATACTTTCAATTCGTCTAAACTTATTTCTCGATTGGCGCAGATTGGCGCAGATTCCGAATACAACATTTTCTGTGTGGGTGAAGCTGGGGGAAATATGCACATTTTTTTCACGACAATCATGAAAATATAAGGGAAATAAAATAGACCTTTGAGATAGTTCTATCTCCATTTATTTGAATGCCCCCAACTCTCCATTGTAGCTGTAGTGTTGAAGTTTGGACAATAGGCAACCAGTTCAAATGTTATTACCTGATCTTTGTTCAAAATTACGAGGTGCATGGACAATAGTTCTCGTGAAGCTTCAAAGAACAATATTAATTAATGATATATTAATCTGAAAGAAAGAGTTGATTATTCAAAAATTCGGTCAATCAAATTAGAATTAAGTAAAATTAATCAGCAAATATGAAGAAGGCACCCCTGAGCTGGCACCCCTCTCTACAAAGCTCCACACCTCACCAACATGAGAACTTCTAGACTCTACAGATTAAACGTGCATCAATCTTTCATCGAGATCTGGGGTAGGCAACCTTTATGCTATGGGGTGTGCCAAACCAATCTACCAATACGATTCAGCATGACACACAGGACAACTTTTGAAACAATTCAATTTCCGTGATAAAGCATGCAGAATAGTACAAATTTCCAGTTTTATTATATATTAAATTTGCAACGACTAAAGATATTTCTTAACATAAAAATAAGCAGCATAAAATATAACTATTTCTTAAACAAAAGTAAAGAAAAAATAATTGTGCATGTATAATGTATTTTTAAAAATAACTATTAAAATAAGATATATAGACACTATAAAATATAAGTATTTCGCTTCTTTATGGAATGAGAAGAGAAATAATAGAAATTAAAAGGCCTACCCTGGCGCTCTACACTTTCATACTACAAAATCAGGGGTATAACTTGTGACTTTCAATTTGACACGATTTTGAGCATTCAGTTATTAAACAATTTCTTTGCGGACTCGAAATGTTTTTCATACGAGGAAAGATTTTTTACTCCGATGTTTAGAACCAAAAGCGGAAAGCAGAATGCCCATGCAATGTTATCTCTCAAAACAATTAAATCTCTCCAGAAATGGCATTCAGTAATTTACAAAATAGCTGTAAATTTAATCTTTAGAATTATCTTCCAGAATTTTTCGTAATTCCGTAAGGATCCATAATTCTAAAGACGTTTGTCAAATATGGTCCATCAAAATTTATCAACTTCCACCCACCTAAAAAATGACAAATTTGTAGAGTAATGCAGAAGGCCACACTGAGAATTGTACCACGTGCCACATGTGGCATGCGTGCCATATGTGCCTGGTCAAAATTCCGTGTGGCTGGGCTGCAGTGGCTGTAAGACTCGACAAAGCCGGGCACGATCTCGCAACCAGTGGCTTAACGTACACCCCAGCAACCCCCACACTGCGGAAGGGCCCAGGATTCTGGGGCTCCAAAGCCTGATTGCCGTCATGTACTTACCCTTTGTAAATTCCAACTTGGGGCCCCAAACCTGACTTTGTAGGGGGGCAAATGTTCTCCGTTACGCCACTGCTCACAACTATGGTCATAACATGGGGCGAGGTCGAGATCTGAACAAAATAGAGTAAATTTGTAAGCTGCATATCAAAAAGGCATTAGTATAAT